CTCCAGCGTGGTGCCCAGCTCCAGCACCTTGGTCTCGGCCCAGCCCGCCTTGTCCTGCAGCTCGGCCAGCTGGGACAGGTGAGACAGGTGAGACAGGTGAGACACAGGTGAGACACAGGTGAGACACAGGTGAGACGGGTGGGGCGAAAAGACCCGGAAAAAATGCAAAAAACCCCGAGATTTTAGCCCAAAAACGGAATAAATTGGGGTCATTTCACTGCAAAGGTCCTGGAGGATTCACCTGGGACAGGTGAGACAGGGGAGACACAGGTGAGACACAGGTGAGACACAGGTGAGACACAGGTGAGACACAGGTGAGGTGGGTGGGGCGAAAAAATCCCGAAAAAAATGCAAAAAACCCCAAAATTTTATCCCAAAAATGGAATAAATTGGGGTCATTTCACCGCAAAGGTCCTGAAGGGTTCACCTGGGACAGGTGAGACAGGGGAGATAAAGGTGAGGGACAGGTGAGACAGGTGAGGCAAGGAAATCCCAAAAAAATGCAAAAAACCCCAAAATTTTATCCCAAAAATGGAATAAATTGGGGTCATTTCACTGGAAAGCTCCTGGAGGGTTCACCTGGGACAGGTGAGATATGGACAGGTGACACAGTGAGACACAGGTGACACAGCTGACAGGTGTGACACAGGTGACAGAGGTATGACACACACGTGACACAGGTGAGATATGGACAGGTGACACAGGTGACACAGGTGACACAGGTGTGACACAGGTGTGACACACAAGTGACACAGGTGACACAGGTGAGATATGGACAGGTGACACAGGTGACACACAGGTGTGACACAGGTGACACACAGGTGAGACTCAGGACAGGTGACACAGGTGACACACACGTGACACACAGGTGAGACAGGTGAGACACAGGACAGGTGACACAGGTGTGACACAGGTGAGACACAGGTGACACTCAGGTGACACAGGTGACACAGGTGACACCCAGGTGAGACAGGTATGACACAGGTGTGACACAGGTGACACAAGTGACAGGTGACACAGGTGACACAGGTGACACTCAGGTGACACTGAGCTGACACAGGTGACACAGGTGAGACACAGGTGACACACAGATGACACAGGTGACACCCAGGTGACACACAGGTGAGACAGGTGAGACAGGTGACAGTCAGGTGACACAGGTGTGACACAGGTGACACAGGTGACACACAGATAACACAGGTGACACGCAGTTAACACACGTGACACTCAGGTGACACAGGTGTGACACAGGTGTGACACAGGTGTTACACAGGTGTGACACAGGTGTTACACAGGTGACACACAGGTGACACTCAGGTGACACTCAGGTGAGACACAGGTGACACAGGTGACACTCAGGTGACACTCAGGTGACACAGGTGTGACACAGGTGTGACACAGGTGTGACACAGGTGTTACACAGGTGACACACAGGTGACACACAGGTGACACACAGGTGTGACACAGGTGACACACAGGTGACACACAGGTGAGACACAGGTGACACACAGGTGAGACACAGGTGACACAGGTGACACTCAGGTGACACTCAGGTGACACTGAGCTGACACAGGTGACACAGGTGACACTCAGGTGACACTCAGGTGACACAGGTGTGACACAGGTGTGACACAGGTGACACACAGGTGACACTCAGGTGACACAGGTGACACAGGTGTGACACAGGTGAGACACAGCTGACACTGAGCTGACACAGGTGACACTCAGGTGAGACACAGGTGACACAGGTGAGACACAGGTGACACTCAGGTGACACTCAGGTGACACGGGTGTTATACAGGTGACACACAGGTGACACTGAGCTGACACTGAGCTGACACTGAGCTGACACAGGTGACACTCAGGTGACACTCAGGTGACACGGGTGGCACACGCGTGGCACACGCGTGACTCGCACCTGCAGCGCCTCCCTCTGGTGCTTCTCGTGCAGCGCCAGCGTCAGCTCCTGCAGCCGCCGGTGCTCCCGCAGCAGCTCCCGCAGCAGCTCCCGGCCCGGCTCCGGCAGCTCCGCTGCTCCCGAAAATCCGGGATCACACGGAATTCCCGGAATTCCGGAGGAGCCGCCCCAAAAAAAAAAAAAAATCCCGCGAAAAACGGGCGAAAATCCCACAAAAAACGGGCAAAAATCGGGCAAAAAACGGGCAAAATCAGGTGAAATTCCCCCAAAAAAAGGACTGAAATCCAGGAAAATCCCAGCAACAATAACCCCAAAAAAATAATCCAAAGAATCCCCCGGAATTACCCAAAATTCCCAAAAAAATCCCGCAAAAAACGGATGAAAATCGGGCGAGAAACGGGCAAAAATCGGGCAAAGACGGGCGAAAATCCCGCAAGAAAAGGACCGAAATCCAGGAAACTCCCAGCAAAACTCAACCCAAATTCTGAAAAATTCCAAAGAATACCCCAGAATTACCCAAAATTCCCAGAATTCCCGAAAAAATCCCAAAAAAAATTGGCGGAATTTGGGCAAAAACAGGCGAAATTCCCAGAAAAAACGGACAAAATTTGTGCAAAAACGGACAAAATTCCCGCGAAAAACGGCCCAAAATCCAGAAAAATCCCAGCAAAACTCAACCCAAATCCTGAAAAATTCCAAAAAATCCCCCGGAATTACCCAAAATTCCCAGAATTCCCAAAAAAATCCCACGAAAAACAGACGAAAATCGGGCGAAATTCGGGCAAAAACGGGCGAAATTCCCCCCAAAAAAGGACCGAAATCCAGGAAAATCCCAGGAAAACTCAACCCAAATTCTGAAAAATTCCAAAGAATACCCCAGAATTACCCAAAATTCCCAGAATTCCCAAAAAAATCCCGCGAAAAACAGACGAAAATCGGGCGAGAAACGGGCAAAATTCGGGCAAAACCGGGCGAAAATTCCCCCGAAAAAAGGACTGAAATCCAGGAAAATCCCAGCAAAACTCAACCCAAATCCTGAAAAATTCCAAAAAATCCCCTGGAATTACCCAAAATTCCCAAAATTCCCAGAAAAATTCCCGCAAAAAACGGGCAAAATTTCCACAAAAAATGGCCAAAATTCCCCCAAAAAATGGGCAAAATTCCAGCAAAAAAATGGATAAAATTCCCACAAAACCGGACAAAATTCCCGCAAAAAATGGCCCCAAATCCAGGAAAATCCCAGCAAAACTCAACCCAAATCCCGAAAAATTCCAAAAAATCCCCCGGAATTACCCAAAATTCCCAGAATTCCCAGAAAAATTCCCACAGAAAACGGGAAAAATTCCATCAAAAAACTGACAAAATTTGGGCAAAAACGGACAAAATTCCCGCGAAAAACGGACAAAATTCCCAGAATTCCCAGAGGATCCCCCAAAAAATTCCCACAAAAAACGGATAAAATTCCCCAAAAAAACGGACAAAATTCCCCCTAAAAAAACAGACAAAATTTGGGCAAAAATGGTCAAAATTTCCGCAGAAAATTGACAAAATTCCCACAAAAAAATACCCAAAATCCAGGAAAATCCCAGCAAAACTCAACCCAAATCCCGAAAAATTCCAAAAAATCCCCCGGAATTACCCGAAATTCCCAGAATCCCAAGAAAAATTCCCACAAAAACCAGCCAAAATTCCCGCAAAAAATGGGCAAAATTCCCACGAAAAATGGACAAAATTTGCCCAAAAATGGACAAAATTCATGCAAAAAAGCCTCAAAATCTAGGAAAATCCCGGCAAAACTCGTCCCAAATTCCCAAAAAATCCCCTGGAATCCCAAAATCCCCAAAACCCGGAGAATTCCCAGAAAATTCCCATAAAAATTGCCCAAAATTCCCACCAAAAAATTGCCCAAAATCCAGAAAAATCCCAGCAAAACTCAACCCAAATCCTGAAAAATTCCCAAAAAAATCCCCCGGAATCACCCCAAAAATTCCCCAAAATTCCTTCCAACCCAACCGGAATTCCCGAAATTCCACCGGAAATTCC